TTACATCGGTGATCCGTTTATTTGGCAATTGCCAATGGCAGTCAGCAGGGTTTAAGAACATTTGTTGTTCGACCTGTTGGTCAAATGCGTTTTGTTGAAATATACTTTTTCACTTTCTTGGTCTTTTGGAAAATGTTGTTTGTGCTGTATTTAGACCCCTCTAACAAGAAATTTGTTTTGCATGCACACGTATAAAAATTGCGGTTTTTATCCAACGCAATCATAGGTTTGAACGTTGTTTTCAATTTAGACTTGTTTATATTTTTTCGTTTGGGCTTGTATTATATTTGCCTTCGGGTTTATATGATCCGTTCATCCTATTTTGACTCCTCAAAATCAAGAGTCTATCCTAAATTGAGGTAAATTGTATGGCTTTCCTAATACCGTTTCGATTCCTAACATCACTGAAGAGACATTAATTGTCGAAATCCGGATATGGTGTACAAAAACCTTTGCACCTTTTGTTTGCGGTATATCATCTTTTCCGCAAGTTTATTGTTTTCTGTTTAGTAAAAATTTTTAATTAAGATCCATTTATTACATTGGTGATCCGTTTATTTGGCAATCGCCAATGGCAGTCAGCAGGGTTTAAGAACATTTGTTGGTCGACCTGTTGGTCAAATGCGTTTTGTTAAAATATACTTTTTCACTTTTTTGGTCTTTTGGAAAATGTTGTTTGTGCTGTATTTAGACCCCTCTAACAAGAAATTTGTTTTGCATGCACACGTATAAAAATTGCGGTTTTTATCCAACGCAATCATAGGTTTGAACGTTGTTTTCAATTTAGACTTGTTTATATTTTTTCGTTTGGGCTTGTATTATATTTGCCTTCGGGTTTATATGATCCGTTCATCCTATTTTGACTCCTCAAAATCAAGAGTCTATCCTAATTTGAGGTAAATTGTATGGCTTTCCTAATACCGTTTCGATTCCTAACATCACTGAAGAGACATTAATTGTCGAAATCCGGATATGGTGTACAAAAACCTTTGCACCTTTTGTTTGCGGTATATCATCTTTTCCGCAAGTTTATTGTTTTCTGTTTAGTATTAAATTTTTAATTAAGATCCATTTATTACATCGGTGATCTGTTTATTTGGCAATCGCCAATGGCAGTCAGCAGGGTTTAAGAACATTTGTTGTTCGACCTGTTGGTCAAATGCGTTTTGTTAAAATATACTTTTTCACTTTTTTGGTCTTTTGGAAAATGTTGTTTGTGCTGTATTTAGACCCCTCTAACAAGAAATTTGTTTTGCATGCACACGTATAAAAATAGCGGTTTTTTTATCCAACGCAATCATAGGTTTGAACGTTGTTTTCAATTTAGACTTGTATATATATATATATATATGGACATTGGGTAGATCTGAACATTCTGACCATTTCTGCCCCGTCAGATTTTCTCTATTTAAAGCTGTTTTCAAGATAATAGATAAAACTTGCATTTTACCCCTAGCTGTTTTTAAGATAATAGATAAAACTTGCATTTTACCCCTATGTTCTATTTTTACCCATGTGTGCCATGTTGGTAGGCAGGCGGCGTCATCAAACACATTATTAAAACTAGATAACCTAATGATGATTGTGGCCAAGTTTGGTTAAATTTGGTCATGTAGTTTCCATACCAGTCAATCTTTGACAGTCATTCCTAAGTTCCATTGGATATTGGCAAATGACTGGTAAAGTTGGATTTGGTTCGGTAAAAGTTGTTGCTAAACTGGCCTAAATGTCTAGTACATATTCAGAATTTTTATATGAAAAATAACAAAATGACAGGTAAAAATGGTCTTTGGTCCAGTGAAGTCACCACATTAACTGGATTGAATGTCATGAAAGGTTTGAAAGGTTTGAAAGACCTTGGGAAATACTGCTATGAAAAGGAAAATGCAGGTCATAATGGGTACAAACTTTTTTCAGTTGAATTTTAGTATTTAGAGGATTTTTTTTTAGTATTCTATAACATATACCAGTTACCTACAAATATTTACAATTATGAAGTATTTGCTGAAAATTGTTGAAAATTTCAATTCATGTTTTCATTTTAACTTCATTACTGTACCGGTATTTGTTAACTATTTAAATATCAATATAAAGTAATGCCCTCTAATTGTTTCATTCACTTTGTTTTTTATTAATGAATTTTGTGAACCCCAACTATAATAAGAAATCAGCTATAGCTAATGTGCTCCTATACATAGGAGGAAGATAATGAGAAGGAAGAATTTACTGTCTACATTATGTGCAGTCCCAGGTAGACCACATGGATTTTTAATAATAACTATAAGTGACAACAAAATAAATCGTTGAAAATAGTTTAGGGACCTTTATCTCTCCTACAGATGGTTGTAAAGAGGTTCAAATTGTTTTAAAATGATTTTCATAGGATAATTGATATTTGCAAAGGCAAATACATAAATCAGACCATAGAATTGTATGTTCAACCTTTCTGGGGTACAATTAATGAGATAGTTAGCGAGTTGTTATTACCTTTCAATCAAAATAGTGTCAAAATTATGTTGTGATAGCTGTAAATCATTCAATTAAGGGCAAACTATCAAACCTGTTCAGGAAAAATTTCAAATTTGGCATTTTTCAGAGGAGCATTTTAGACATTGGAAGTCTCATGGCACTAAAACACGGGTGAAAATGGGTCATTTGATGAATTCCCGGTTAATTGATGACCCAGACGGGTATTGAAAAATCTCCGTTGAGCTGGTAAATTCATGGGTCACACCCGCAAAATACAGGTCAGTTGACAGGTATGATTTTCAAAGGAGAAGATTTGTGTAAAAGTTAATATAGGCAACAACACCGGATGCCAAGTGATGAGAGCAGGGCAAGGTGAGCTAATAAAAATAACCCAAATTAACCAGCAAATTGACAAAATTTAAGACATGCATACTTGAATTAACTGCTTTAAAGATATAAGCCAAATCTTACACAGTGCATGAGTGCATATGTATACAGACAGGAGAACTTAGAGATTGGAAATTACATTTCAGTGTGTATAGATTTAGTAGCTAATCAGGCTACTTTCTGTTTTGAGAAGTCTGTGTCAGGATAGAATAAAATAATAGTTCCAGGGACTAAACTTAATTTGTTTTCTCCAGGGGCCAGCTGGGCCCCAAAATATTTTTTTCAGGGACCAAGTTGATATGTTCATACTAATAAAATTTAACTTAAATGTTCTTTTTTCATATACTACATGTACTAATAAAGTCTTTTTAGGTAATCCTACATGTAGATTACGAGTCTGGTAAAGATTATGAGTGATTACTTTACAATATTTGAATTATTGCCACCAGAAATATATCATAAGATTTGACAATACTGATTTTAGCACATTTCCCACCAAAATTGTCTCCCTCCAATTTGAACTTCCTGTTGACATTTTGAGAAAATATGGCTGTTTCTATGAATCATTAAAAGCTATTTCAAATCCAAGCCATCCTCTAATAGTGTTGATCAAACATATTATTCAATTACTTTTTATTGGAGATTGCGTAGCAAACTAGATATTTAGATATTTATTAACGAGATTTGGGTTTCGTTTTTTCATTCAAGATTTGATAAAAACTGATGCCTGTACAAGTTATCATAAAAAATTAGCTTATAATGACTCCCTGGACAACTGGAATGCATCTCTGAAGCAATGCAGATTCAACAGTTAAGATGAAAACAATAAAAAAATAATGAAATAATGCTATAAGCTTTAAATGAGCGATAAGAAAACATGTTTAGAGAAGGGGTATATGTCAAATTGTGCCTTTGTATAGAAAATACAGTTGTCCGATTGGTTTTGGTTATTAAAATGAACTTACTAGTTTTCAGAAATTCTCTTTTTAATTTTCCTGCTTTCATTAGACAAACAGGTTTCCGTTTGGGAAAAGTTATTGTTTATATCGCAGGGGAAAAGGTAGAAATAGGATTCACTGCAAAATATTAACAGTAGCCAGCTTTATCAGGATGATAAAATATATTCGCCCAGCCAAAAATCTGGTTGCCTTAGTCGACTGGGCGACCGTTTAGTTTAGTCCCCGAGTTCTAATCTGTCCAAAAAGTGTGCTGGAAGTTGAAAAATATTCTTAAATGTAATGTATAATCATCAATATTTTAGTAGTCCTGCACAGGCATACCAAATGAAAGGAGTAAGTTCACGAAAGGTTAAAATTGGAATCTAAGATTTTGATGTATTTTATACAGGCCAAAATACTTTACATTTCACATGGAAATAGTTGTGATATTACTATTGATACAAAATAACTTCTTTTTTGGCATATCGCATTAAAAATGACAAAGTAATAATCCCATTAGTATGCACTATTTGTTTTATCTACATCAGTTTTGGTCAAATTTTCCATGATACTAAACAGTTTTTTAGCATAATTCACTTTGGCTGCCACCCCTGATCCAGAAAGTATTTGTGTCTTGGAATTCAATATCATCATTGGTAACTTTTAGTAACAGAACATTTTAGATCCTAGGTTGCGGCCAAGGGTTTCCTCAAGCTTTTAGGTCGGAAAAACACCCAAAATAATCGTATTTTGACAATATATCTAAAATGTCATGGCTATTAAGTCTAGAATGTACTCTGTATGAAAAGATTTGTTTAACCTTGTAGTAAGGCTTTTGAAATAGGGCTGTTTTATGCTCTTTGGTCGGGTTGTTGTCTCTTTGACACATTCCCCATTTCCATTGTCAATTTTACCATTTAAGAACCAAATTATGGCCATTTTGAAATTTTATGATAAAGTTGAAATTCAAGGCCATATTTGGCCTTAATTAAACCTTTCCTGAAATCTTGGCAATAAGCTTGCATAACTATAAGCATGTCTTCACAACAGTAATCCTGTCAGGAATACCAAATTGGAAAATTAGAAATCCATTCACAGCACTTTCTGCCTTTCTTTTGTCTTAAGACATAGGTATGAGATGTTTAAAAATCTGAAATTTCAGGGATAGAATAACTATGACTTTGGATTCCTCACAGTCATACTTACAATTGCATAAAAGTTGCTGTTTACCATTATAGGTGATCTTCCACTAAGGTAGACATAGTCCTCCCACCAATCTGATACCTATAAAAAAGATAATGCTTAGAAATCTTACCCTTACAAGATGGTCATACCCCCACTCAATGTTGTTGACTCTATTTGTCAGTAAATGCAAAAATTTCAGATATATGTCCATGGCATTTCAAAGAGATTTATAAGTTTTATTCAAACATGACGAAGAACCTAAGATATGGTTTATAGTTTTGCATAACCAGATGAAGCTTGGTGACATATACCAAGAAACTGTGACTTTTAGTTGCTGTGAAAAATTTGATAGAAGCATGTTTTAATGATGCACAGACTGACAGAGATAAACTAGTATACTCCATCCTTTGGAGCATTATAATAATATGTTTCTAAAACTGAATATTCAAAATCATATATACAATACCCTGAAAATCATATAAATTGGTTACCAAATGACTAAATCAGCTCAGGTCCATGATGCTATCGGAATAGATTTTATAATAGATGGTGCTATACCCGTAATTTAGGTAGCAATATACAGTTAGGAAAAAAAATTAAAATTTACACTGTCTCATAAATTTTACCATCCCCTTTTCCTTGCTTTCTTATAAATTAAGTTTACTGTTTGTGTCATATATGTGCATATACATATGTAATCAGTACCTCCCAGAGATTTGATTTTCAGTAGTTAAAATGGTTAAATATAATTTCTTTTTTGTTGTATCCATGGCAACAATCTGCAATTATTTGCTATAAAATATTGCAAAAATGGGTGCAAAGATGACTCATATTTCCCCAAAATTTGGCCGAAAATGGAATTTCAATCACTTGGAATGATACCTTTTCTGAAACTGTTTACATATATCTATCAAGAGACCAAATAAAAATCATGTCTTTAGTCTCATTTTTTCTTAAAATTGCGTCAAAAAGTTCGTGTGAAAAAAAAAGTGTTCCTAAGCATTACAATAATTTCTGGGCGGTCTGGATATGTAAATGCCGACAGTCAAACAGAAAATAGCCCATAAAACATGTAAACAATAATCTTGATGGTCCTATAAATCTTCTTTGAAGGCATAATTCGTCATTGGCTATCTAAAAATGAATTTTATTGCACAATAACTTTCATATTCGAAAAATCCACCATGTCCAAAATGTGAAACCACATTCCTAACTGTGAATTACTACCTTAAGGGAAACAGTAAGTACTATTTCAAATTCCATGGTTTTTGAAAATACTTGGGAGAACACAGTGCTAGCTGTATGTTTCACAGTTACTACTTAAGTATTCAACAAATCATTCTGCAGGTTAAATATAAAACAGTGTTATTGATTATTGACCCTTTATTCCAATCATTGTATTTGGTTTTAGATGATGTTATATTAGGTTATGTGTGCATTTGTTGGACAACAGCAGGTTAAGCAAAAGGATGACTTATCTTAATTTGAATTATTTCCATAAAATGGAATAGATAAATCTAACATATATGAAAGGGTTTAATAATGTACATAAAATGTCAAGCTGGCAGCCACATTCTTTATGTGCCTGTCCCAAGTCAGGAGCCTGTAGTTCAGTGGTTGTCATTGGTTCATGTCTGTCATATTTGTTTTTCATAAATTGTTTTGTAATAAATTAGTCGTTAGTTTTTCTCAATTGAATTGTTTCATATTTTTCATGTCAGGGCCTTTTAAAGCTGACTATACGTATGGGTTTTTCTCATTATTGAAGGCCGTACAGCTTACACTGCTTACATCCACTTCATTTGAACTTTGGTGGATAGTTGTCTCATTGGCAATCATACACCATCTCCTTATTTTTACAGTGAATGACCTTGTCATTCCAAGAATGCATTAGATTCAGTTTGCCCATAAAACATTCAAATGACATCAGAAACCAACGTAAGTAAAACAAAATGGAAAAGATACAAATCAAACATATTGGTTCATTGATTCCTAAATTCTTATTTTAAGTCATAATCTATCTTATCTGCAATTCATACATTTTCCCTTTGATCTTACTGCCTAATATTATTTAGATCATGTACTAGTGTTATTAACTAGCTGTTTCTGTATTAGCCCTGTTATAGATTCGAGGTTAGCTGTATTGGACCCGAGACTCGAAGAGTCAAGGGCCAATACAGCTGACAGAGAATCTATAACAGGGCCAATACAGAAACAGCCAATTCATAACACTTTTATTAAATGATTTCAATTCTTTCAATTAGAATAAACTTAGAAACTTACCGTGAAGAAGATACAGAATTTCATATCTGAACTTGTCTTTTCGCATTCACGTCTATGGATTTTTTGTCAACATTGTCAGATGTAATTTCTGATTTCTCGTCCAAGTACTTAATATTATGCTATTACAATTCATTTTATCTAGCAAATATATAGTAGCTGGGAAGAATAAATCAGACAGCTTGAATCGTCTGCGTTCTGATGATTGATCAACAGAAATGAAACAGTGTTAATAATCGAAAGTTGTACTTGAAAAGGCTGTGAAATATTTCCGTTTCAAGACGTCAAGACGTTATAAAACACTGAACATCATTTAAAAACTTTTTATTTTAAGATTTTAAGTTAAAAAAATATAATACAAATGTTTTTTTTATACATAACGATATGTCCAAAGTTAAGTAAGGCGTAAGAAAATTTAAACTGGAAGTGAACGTCCCTTATTAGCCCATGGGCCAATATGGCTTTTTTTCCGTATGGCCCTGTCTGAAAAGCAATATTAACTCTTGATTTATATCGATAGTGCAACGTCATCAGTATTGCACATGCTGATTTATCCGTATTAGGGCTGATTTGCTCATATCATTAAATAAAAGAAAATATTAATCAAATGACATCATGTATTAGTGCAGCAACATCACATGATCATGTCCATCCGCATCAATATATCAATGAAATTCACATTCCTCTGGACACTACCAATATTAATATGATTATTTTTTTCAATATGTAAACAAAGCCATGAGAGCACTTACAAGACTGGAAGGACAGACAAAGACATACAACTGGTATTTCTCTATGCCCTGGTCAACTTTGTTGCAGGGGGCAATAATATTTGTGTAATTGTGACCAAACAAGTTATGAATTGTCCACAACTATAGTCATCAGTATTTTACTATGTACTCACATAATTAGTAGCCCACCATGATTTGAGTACAAGATATCTGTTAAACTTTTTCCCTGTTCCTTCTTGAAATTCCTTGCTGAGTTTTTCCATTCTTTGATATTTTTCATCCTCCATCAGTGGTTTTACTGATCTTAAATACTAAGAGTTAAATAAATAAACATTGTGGATAAGTTTCATAACATTTGGTTGAGGCAAACTAAAGTTAGAGAACGGAAACAAAACATTCAGCAATTTTTCCATTTGTAAAGGGCATAACTCTCGAACGGTAAAAGTGATGCCACCAAAATTCAAACTCAATCTGTGTTTTGTGGTTATAAGCATTGTGGATAAGTTTCATAACATTTGGTTGAGGCAAACTAAAGTTAGAGAACGGAAACCAATTTTGGAACGTACAGATAGATGTACAGACGGAAGGACGGACGGACATGGTAATTCAATATGCCCCCCAACTTTTAGTTGCGGGGCATAAAAAAAAAGTCAATTACAGGAATTGAATGATAAGAATATTTTTATTACACTGTAGTAGCAAGAAAGCTTTGGAGTATCAAAAGCAAATGACCACTTTTCAACTTTTCTTATGATTCTGGAGAAGAATGTGTCCTGTTCTATGCAAAGATTTTGAGGATCAGATCTAATTGTGAAATATGATCTGGGTGAAGACCATATTATAATTACATGTCAAACATAAATATACTCTTTATAACAATGTCATATATACAAATTAATGTTGACTGCTACTGGTATAATTAATCGTTAACAAGACCAACACTAGGTCTGGAACCGCATGCAATTCATTGAGGTAATATGTATACTGGAATATAACTGATCATTACCTTTCACTGACGACAAGAAAACTTTGACGAATGAAAATTTTCCATATATAAAAAGTCTTGTAAAATTTCAAACTATCGGCAAACAGGAAGTAGATACATTGCAGATGTAAAAATTGCTTACTCACTTCAACTCAACATGATCAAGCTGCAGACCAAATATCAAAATCATTCCCTTCAATAAGAGCTGAGAAAAATTATAAAATATTTTACCTTTTACAATGAGTGTTGTAAAATGTCAAACTGTTGACATACAGGAAGTGGGTATATACTGAAAATGTAACAAGCATTCTGTGAGTATTGCCTGGCAATACATAGTCCCCTACCGGTTAAAAATTCACTTTACTGGAACAAAATGCTAACTTGATCTATAACTTGTCATAGTGTAAACTATATAACAAATATCAAGTCAATATCTTCAAGCATGACGATAAAAATGTGGAAAATTGATTATTTGAGTGAATTTTCTAAGTCCAAGGACCATAACTCTGCAGAAAATCATCAGACCGGAACAAAATTCGACCTTGATCTGAAACTTGTCATGATAAAACTATATACCAATCATCAAATCAATATCTTCAAGCATGACAAAAAAAAGTGTGAAAAACTGATTATTTGAGTGAATTTTCTAAGTGCAAGGACCATAACTCTGCACAAAATCGTCAGACCGGAACAAAATGTCAAACTTGATCTGTAACTTGTCATGATTAAACAATACACCAAATATCAAATCAATATCTTCAAGCACGAAGAAAAAAAGTGTGGAAAACTGATTTGCCGGACTGAAGTATGGACAGACAGACTGACAGAGTGCAAACCTAAAGTCCCCTTAGACTCGACGGTAGAGGACTAAAATTGTTTACAACCTACAAAACAATATTTTTAACCTACAGACCAAATATTAAATCATTCCCTTGAATGGGAGCTGAGAAAACATTGACGAAAATTTTCCTTATACAATGAGTGTTGTAAAATTTCAAAATATCAGCAAACAGAAAGTGGATACATGGACCCTAAATAGCTGTCAAACTGATATGTACTGATAGTAATGCAACTTTATACAAAATATCATTGATTTATCACAAGTAGTTCCTATCAAACTGACTTGAGCAGAAAACTTAACAATTATTGACGCATCCTCCTCAGCCGTTGCCACCTGAAAAGATATACCTATGTCGCAGACATAACAAAAACATGGCAAGAATTGGAAACGTGAGACCGGATGGATGGACAGAAGCACGCCTGGTATTTCTATGTCCCAGCAATGCATCGAGGGAGGGACACAAATATATTGTGATTTAGTTTGTTATAAATTTTGGTTTATCTGCACAGCTTATATTGAGCAATCTGAATTCATGACGGAGACCTTGATTTTTTAGAAAGCAATTGGACTGTAAGATTTAGTGATTTCAGAAAAAAATTTGTTTCCACAATACTCAACAAATCCCTGTTAAGAAAAGATAACATTGTCACTTGATCAAATATGACAAAAAAAGGCACTTAGGCTTCTTTCAAAGCTTCAAGGGCCTCGGTGGCCGGGTGGTCTAAGTAGTTACTACTGTAATCACTAACCAGTCAACACTGAGGTTGTGAGTTCGAACCCCACTCGTGCAGGTGCACTAGACTCCAATCTTAATTGACTAGGATTGTCAGTTTTCCTATCGAAGGTCGGTGATTTTCTCCGGGCACTCTGGCTTCCTCCACCAATAAAAACTGGCTGCCATGAAATAGCCCAAAAGCAGTGCTTAAAAGTGGCGTTAAAACACCAAAAATCAATCAAAATCAAAGCTTCAATGTTATCTATTATGCAGTTTATCATGAAAGCAACATACCTTATTGACTGTCTCTTTCACTGAAGGCACAAATAACTTTGGTAATGAGAACTGATAGCTCATCAATAAAGGTTTTCTTCCTCCTAATATCTTAACAGTAACCTGTAATAATATTGTAATATGCTGTCTAGATACTGTTAACCACTTAATTTTACAAACAAATTATTTTTTTAACTTAAGTGAGTAGAAAAATGTGCTCCGCCTGTAGCAGCTGGATACAACTGCAGAGGTCGTATGGACACAATATTCAAGCTTGATACAGCTCTGAATTTGGATAGTGGTTAAATATTTGACACATTAGAGATTTCTGACAAAGAATAAATGTGGTCAGATAACTTAAAAATTTGAAATGGGACATTTAATCTACTTAATGGTCCAATATCCAAAATCTAATTCCATGGTTAGATTCAGCATATAAAAAAAAAACATGAATTCAAACAAAGTTTAATTTTGGACCCTTTTTACGTAAATATGGACTAATTTGAAAACAGGGCTCAAAATTAAAAATCTGACTGCACAATTAAATTCAGAATATCACAGAACTACCAGAATTCAGTTTTTGATGAAATCAAACAAAGTCTAATTTTGGACCCTTTGGACCTCAATGTAGACCTATTTTAAAATGTCCAAACATTCAATATAGTAATACATGGTAAAAACCTCAAACAATTCAAGACCTTAAATTAATCCTCATTGAAATTGGTTAAAAGATTTGTATTTATCTTCAATTGAAGATTTCTTGCTGTTGTCCAATACTTTGCTGTTGCGCAATACTAAAGTAAATCTGTTTACAAACTAAATATAATCATTTACACACCCTGTTTGGTGTGTATCTCCTGCCATATCAGTTTTTGTTGTTTCTTTATATAGATCAGAAATAAATTATGTTAGAACCAGCTTAGCCAGTATTAGAAAAGTCTTGTTTTTGGCCAATAGTTAAAGCCAAAACCCACAAAATCGACCCCAACCTTCTGTGTGTGGTATGGAACCTTGTGGTACAATTTCATAGAGATCCATTGACTAATACTTAATTATTTGTCCGGAAACTAGAAAAATCTTGTTCCTCCCCCAATTTCCTAAACAGTTGGGAGCATAACCCCTAAAATCAATCCCAACCTTCCTTTTATGCTATTGAACCTTGTGATTAAATTTCATAGAGATCCATTCACTTATACTAAAGTTATTGTCCGGAAACCAAATGTCTTCAGACGACAACATGATAGCAATATACAAACGCAAATTTTTGTAAGGGGTTCCGTGGAACCCTGTGTCTCACCTGCAATGGCTGCTGTCAGTGTAAAAGTGTAATAATGACCTAAGAAGTGAGTCCATTTATCAGCAAAATACAGAATTTAAAAAAAATATCAAACATTTTTTTAGATGATATTTCTTGGTCTTAAAGATTAGCTTGTGTCCAAGTTTCATAATAATCCATGAAGGTTTACAAATTTATCATGTCTAAAAAATTCAATCCCAGACTGTCTTTTAATGTTAACTGTAAAAAAACTATGTCCATCTATCAGAAAAATACTGAAATGAAAAAGATATATTTTCAAAAGTTTGCTTCAGACATTATCTCTTAATCATAAAAAAGCTTTTGCCAAAGTTTCATAAACTTGTATGAAGGTTTGACAAGGTACTTGATGTGTAACAAACTTTAACCCCAGACTGTATCTACTGTCAGCATAAAATTCAGAAAAAGACAATCTGAGGGACAGCAACATTGCTTATTAATTCAAAGTCATGATCTAGTAGGCAGGGCCTGAAAACGGTTGACAACTGAGATGTACATATAAACTTAACATTGAAAATTGCTAATTAATTCAAAGTCACTGGACCATAGCCTAGGAGGCAGGGCCTCAAAATAGTCGTCAAATTGACATGTACTGATAGTAATGCAACTTTATAGAAAATATCATTGATCAATCACAAGTTGTTCCTATCAAACTGACTTAAGCAGAAAACTTAACATTGATAGTTGCTAATTAATTCAAAGTCACTGGACAATGTCCTAGAGGGTAGGGCCTCAAAATAGTCATCAAACTGATATGTACTGATAGTAGTGCAACTTCCTACAAAATATCATTGATCTATCACAAGTAAATCCTATAAAACTTAACATTAATCAAAGCCTTAAAGGCTGTTAAAACAATTGCTGCCTAGTTAATGTTTTCGTGACTTTTATTTTTCATCCTCATGTAAAAGAATTTAACCTGAGAGGAGTCTTGTCTAGTGTGAAGTAAGGCTATTTTAACTTTATATCAATAAAAGACTTATCCAGCAGAAAGTTATTTTTACGATGTTTTATATTTCCCAGGGGGATGACACGTTTACCTGGCTTACCATGGAGGCAAATATATGTGTGGAAACGTATAACTCCCGAAGAAATCATAATAGATTATCCCCTTGTAGAGTGTTTATCATTGGGCAATAATAAATCCATGCACCTGGCTTCATTATCTTTAATGCTTTAATTTTAATTTTAATTATATCATAATTGGTTTAAATTTAACCATTTTGTTGATTTCAACTTTGGTGACGCGATTGTTCTACCGAACTATAGTTTTTTATAATAAGAATCATTCATTAATTATAACATACATATTAAAGATTTTGAAGATGGGACCAGTTTCTGAAATCTTCATGAAATGCATGTTAACTGTCGATTGACTAGGAACTGTCTTACGCTTTACCCCTTCTTTCATCACTATAGCCAGGTTTATTTTAAATTTGTTGGTTTTTACGGATTCTTCACATGAAAAAGTCTGGTCTGTCGGTCGGAAAAAAAAAGAAAATAATTAGGGAATGTGTCCATGGGACACAGATGATGCCCCCGCTTGCATATCATATAACATTATAAAGGGACATAACTGAAGAATAGTAAAAGTGACGCCACCAAAATTCAAACTTGCTCTGTATTTTGTGGTCATAAACATTGTGTATAAGTTTCATAATATTTGGTTGAGGCTCACTTAAAGTAGAGAACAGAAACGAAAAATTCAGCAATTTTTCCATTTGTAAAGGGGCATAACTCTAGAACGGTTAAAGTGACGCCACCAAAATTCAAACTTGATCTGTATTTTGTGGTAATAAGCATTGTGTATAAGTTTCATAACATTTGGTTGAGGCTAACTTAAGTTAGAGAACGGAAACGAAATATTCAGCAATTTTTCCATTTGTAAAGGTGCATAACTCTAGAACGGTTAATGTGACGCCACCAAAATTCAAACTTGATCTGTGTTTTGTGAAATTAATATTTGTATGTTTTGAAAATGTCCATAATTATTGACGAGTATATACTTACATTTTTCACAATTTTACCCTTGGAAAATATGTAAATAGATTTTTATTTCATCAAATCTTTTGCTGGAATTATTTACATTTTCATAAATATCATTCTTTACAACAGAAATGTTATTTATAAACAAGTGTGTATACACGTAAGGGATTAGTAATGACTAGTATATCACTGTCAGACTCAAGATGAACAATATGTACACATGATGTATATTACAGCTGATAGTTTTTAAATGGAAAGTTACATGTTACCGGCCATGTACACTGATACGCTCAGAAGTGAAGCGATGCATGAACCTGCATTATGTAATTGTGTAATAAGAGTTTTTAAGCCCCACAGGAAATCACTTGAATACCTGGATGTGTTACCTCACAATACCTCTGGGAATAATTATTTTAGCCATTCTGGTGATTAAATAAGGGAAGGTCCAAATTTATTTAAATAAGTTCATTACAAAAAAGAATTATGAACAAATTAGATTTTTTTAAACAATTTTACACGGAACACTTAATTATGACTTTGAACGTAGTAATCGCCCTTAACTAATTCCCCATTATATTTATTTGTTTCATAAACTTAGTAAAAAAAAAAACAGTTTAAAAACGACAAACCATAGTTATTTAAAAATAAATGGGGAATGTGTCCATGGGACACAGATGATGCTCCTGCTTGCATATCATAAAAAGTTATAAAGGGACATAACTGAAGAACGGTAAAAGTGACACCACCAAAATTCAAACTTGATCTGTATTTTGTGGTAATGAGCATTGTGTATAAGTTTCATAACATTTGGTTGAGATCAACTAAAGTTAGAGAACGGAAATGAAAAATTCAGCAATTTTTCCATTTGTAAAGGTGCATAACTCTAGAACGGTTAAAGTGACGCCACCAAAATTCAAATTTGATCTGTGTTTTGTGGTAATAAGCATTGTGTATAAGTTTCATAACATTTGGTTGAGGCAAACTAAAGTTAGGGAACAGAAACAAAAAATTAAGCAATTTTTCCATTTGTAAAGGGGCATAACTCTAGAACGGTTAATATGATGCCACCAAAATTCAAACTTGATCTGTATTTTGTGGTAATAAGCATTGTGTATAAGTTTCATAACATTTGGTTGAGGCTTACTTAAGAGAGAGAACGGAAACCAACTTTGGGACGTACTTACATACAGACGGACAAGGGTAAAACTTAATGCCCCCTCCGCTACGGTGGGGGCATAAAAAATAGATATCCAATGGGCCGACTTTTCGACTCTTAAACCAGGGACAAAACTTAAAAGGAGCCCAGTCGCCCATGGCTCCTAGATTTTGAGCTGGGCCCTAAACTTTCAGTTGAACATATAGAAACTAATTATGAAATATCTGGTCTGGGCTCCCAGCTTGAAATTCGTAAGTTTAGTTCCTGTAAACCTTTTTCTAACATTTTTCCGTATCAAGTTAGTAAGAAAGGTTGCACAACCATATCTGATATAATCCCTTTTTGTGACCCGGGAAACTGTTTATGCTTTTGTCATCACCTTGTCGGATAAAACAACCGTACGCTTGACAAGATATCGACACTCAATTTCGACTACGTTAGTTACTGCTTGTTTTGGTCCTTTGTGGTTTATAGGTATCACATGGTTTCTTAAACCGGGAAGCTGTCAAGATGGCGACATGAAGGGAATTGATATTCTCAATTTAAAATCGATGGTGATCTATCTAGCAGAATAAAACGTTAATATTTATGAATTTGTGATCTTTTATACATAATGAACATAATATCAATTTTTCATTTTTTGGCGAAGTTTCCCTTTAATTCAGAGTCACCTAGGGGGCAGGGCCTCAAAATAAGTCATCAAACTGATGTGAACTGATAGTAATGCAACTTAATATTAAATATCAATGATGTATCACAAGTAGTTCCTATCAAACTAACTTGAGCAGAAAACTTAACCATTGTTGATGCTGTCATCACTGTCACCAGAAAAGCAATCCCTATGTCTTGCTTTCTGCAACTTTTGTTTCAAACAAGACAAAAACTTGTACTACTAATAGGGGTGTTCTCCCCACAGTCTGTACTATCAAAAACTTGGCAGGATAAATGGCAAACAATAGTTGAGTATTTGCCAAATATCAGTATAAATAATTAACTGTTCAGTAACTGTACAAATTTCAATAAAAATTTATCGTTTCTGTTTAATAAAATAATCCAGTATCTACATGTATATTTATCAAATACATTTTTAAATTTTAATATTTTCAGAGTTTAGTGTGTTTCTTATTGTTTTGTTTTTTTATCTAAGCCACAAAAGTAATGCCTGATATTCTTGTTATTCAATCATGTAAGAGTAACAATGAAATAAGATGAAAACTCTTCAAAAGAAGCAAAGTACATGTGTAGTTAAACACTTACAATCCAAATTTTGGTTTTTAATGACATTGGTCCTCTTGCTTCATACATCCATTTGTGATATCTTAGCAATACCCGTAATGACCATTTGATGATAATTATCTTTGCTAACCATAAATAAGTTGCATATAAAACACAGCTGATGTAATGTACAATGGCAGGAGATTGGTCTGTAAATCTGAAAATATTAAGACAAAACTAAACTCTGGAAATCACTCATACAAAACCAAAATTATTAACTGAAATTTAAGTATCTGAAATTGGAAGCAACAGGGGTGCAGAAGATGAGTTGGAGTTTTTATGTATATTATTAAAAGGACGTTTTTGTGTAATGTACTGGGTTTTTGGGGGGTTCACATTTGTAGAAATTCAGGTCAAATGATGGTCATTGCTGATATTGTTTAGGGTTTACAGACATATACCGTTATTGCTTCTGTGACCTTGACCTTTGACCTATTGACCTCAAATTCAGTAGGAGTCTTCCCAAAGAACATTATCAATCTAACTTTGATATCGATTGGATGTGTGGTTCAAATGATATTGTCCGAAAAACCAAATATTTACCCTAAAAAATTCGTATATGAACAGCTACTGAGACTTTAACCTTTGACCCAGGTACCTCAAAATCATTAGAAGTTTATTTCATGCAAAGGCCAATTATCCACAATAGACAGGTAAACATTGATTTATGGCTCAAAAGGTAATGTTGGGAAACAAAACTTGCCAAATATGAAAGATTATTTAATGTTTACAATTAATAGGGGCTTGTTCTTTCCAAGGAGCAGGAATAATTCAGTAAAGATTAAACATATGGTTCAAAAGATATCATTCAGAAAACAATATATATGTTCTAATTTCTTTTGCTGCTGTGACCTTAACCTTTCACCTAGTGATCTCAAATCATAAGGGGTTTTCTCTAACCCATGGGGCATTATCAAACCAAGTTGGTAAAGATATTGTTTATGGCTCAAGTTATTGTCTGTGTATCAAAATGTTGACATCCTGACACCTGTTATTCCCTTTTTGTTAGAGCTTTACATTACTTGACATTCTATTTGGAAGGGTATTTAATGATTGTTTATACTGCAAAAAAAAGGCTTGCCAAGGAGGGCGACTTAGAAATCCAGTGATATTGTATTTGATGGCCAACATAAGCAAAGTGACAGGACTTCTTAAATATTGTTCCCCATCACCATGAGCATTTAAAGTAGGTTGGGTACGTTATTGATCTATTTGTGTAAAATGGCAGACAGGTAGGTTCAATGTTTGTCAAAAAAAATTCAAGAATAATGGACACCCATGAATTCAAGGATTTGCAAAAATTGTCTCCTATGACATAGTACCATAAAGTATCATGTTATGGTTTTATTTTATATAGATATTGTGACATTTATTGACAATACATGTTTGTTAAAGTGAATTATTTTAAGAACAAGAAAAACTAATATTTGACAATTAATTAAATAAACAGCTGCGCCATGAGCGCATGATACGCCCGTCGTCTTGTGTGTGAATTTTTATGCAATAAGCATAAATAGTTTCTGACATACGGCGTGACATGCGAAAACCCCCTTTTTTTTTTACAAAAAACTCAATATCTCTAAAACAAAATTTTGAATCAAAACCAAAAAGTATACAGATCTTTAGATTAATATAACTAAGAAGTGTGTAAAATTTTAAGCAATAATCATAAATCGTTTTTGAGATACAGCGCGAAATGTGAAACCCCCCCCTTTTAAAAAAAAAAAAAATCAATATCTCAAAAATAAAATTTTGAATCAAAACCAAAAAGTATACAGATCTTTAGATTAATATAACTAAGAAGTGTGTAAAATTTTAAGCAATAACCATAAATCGTTTTTGAGATACGGCGCGACATGTGAAAAACCCCTCCCCCTTTTTTTACAAAATACTCAATAACATAAAAATAAAATTTTGAATCATCACCAAAAAGTATACAGATCTTAAGATTAATATAACTAAAAAGTGTGTAAAGTTTTAAGCAAAAATCATAAACTGTTTTTGAGATACGGCGCGACATGTGAAAAACCCCTCCCCCTTTTTTAACAAAATACTCAATATCTCTAAAATAAAATTTTGAATCATCACCAAAAAGTATACAGATCTTAAGATTAATATAACTAAGAAGTGTGTAAAGTTTTAAGCAATAATCATAAATTGTTCTTGAGATACGGCACGACATGTGAAAAAAAACACACACCTGTTTTAGTTACTAAGTCCCGTAACTCAAAAAGTTTTAATCTTATTTTCACCAAAAAGTATACAGATCATTTGACCATCATAAGAAACAACTATGTTAAGTTTCATGAAATTTGGATAAGTCATTCTCAAGTTACGGTGTGACATGTTTACGCCGGACAGACAGACAGACAGACAGACGGACGGACGCCGGACATTTGTATACCATAATACGTCCCGTCAAAAATTTGACGGGCGATTAAAAACAAGTTTATACATATTACTGATAAGTAGATGTTTATATATATATACCTAAAAACAATAATCAGTCTCATGTACCATACCACATTTATGGAGAAGACTTCATAAGTATGATTTACTTGTGTCTCATCCATTTTGCTGATATTTAGCAAATAAAATATGTTTAAACTAAACCACATTTATCTATAACTAATATTGATTCTATGAATAGAAATGGAAGTGTTTTATTTTGGAGGAACCCATATGCTTGCCATTATCAATACTAAAATATCATATACAAAACTTTTAATAACTATTTCTAATTTTATTAACATACTAATACTAAGACACAATTGTATAAACACTATACAAATATCATATTCACAAACAATTCTAAAATACATGAAATCACAATAATTGTATCATTTGGCTTTCTAGGGGGCTACTCATTAAAACTTACAATAAAAATAATTAAAACAAGAAATGATTGTAACAGGATGCTGTTACGAAGTCTCCCAAACGAAGCTCCCATAATTCGTAATTCCCAGGGTCGCCTGACATTGGGCAACGTCCAGTGAAAATTGGTTTGGTCCAGTAAAGTTATATGCATTAGTGATGCCTGGGGACTAACCTTGTATATCATTCAAATCATCTTGGCATGACAAACCAGAATATATATGGTTTAGGGGTGGGGATCTCGACCATTTACAAGATACTAGAACATTGGGGGTGGGGAGGAACCCCTGGGGACTGGCCCTATACGTCATTCAAATGTTCATTACATGACAAATAGGAATATATATGGTTTAGGGGTGGGGATCTCAACCATTTACAAGATATTAGAACATTGGGGGTAGGGGGAACCCCTGGGGACTGACCGTATACGTCATTCAAATGTTCGAGACATGACAAATAGGAATATATATGGTTTAGGGGTGGGGATCTCAACCATTTACAAGATATTAGAACTTTCTCAAATGGCAGGGGGTCGGGATGACCCCTGGGGACTAACCCTGTATATCATTCAAACCATCTTCGCATGACAAACCAGAATATATATGGTTTAGGGGTGGGGATCTTGACCACTTAGAAGATATTAGAACTTTCTTAAATGGCAGGGGGTGGGGGTGACCCCTGGGGACTAACCCTGTATTTAATTTGATGTGCTTTATCATGACAAACCAGAATATATATATGGTTTAGGGGTGGGGATCTCGACCATTTACAAGATATTAGAACTTTCTCAAATGGCAGGGGGTCGGGATGACCCCTGGGGACTAACCCTGTATATCATTCAAACCATCTTAGCATGACAAACCAGAATATATATGGTTTAGGGGTGGGGATCTTGACCACTTACAAGATATTAAAACTTTCTTAAATGGCAGGGGGTGGGGGTGACCCCTGGGGACTAACCCTGTATTTCATTTGATGTGCTTTATCATGACAAACCAGAATATATATGGTTTAGGGGTGGGGATCTCGACCATTTACAAGATATTAGAAACTTTCTCAAATGGCAGGGGGTCGGGATGACCCCTGGGGACTAACCCTGTATATCATTCAAACCATCTTAGCATGACAAACCAGAATATATATGGTTTAGGGGTGGGGATCTTGACCACTTACAAGATATTAGAACTTTCTTAAATGGCAGGGGGTGGGGGTGACCCCTGGGGACTAACCCTGTATTTCATTTGATGTGCTTTATCATGACAAACCAGAATATATATGGTTTAGGGGTGGGGATCTCGACCATTTACAAGATATAAGAACTTTCTCAAATGGCAGGGGGTCGGGATGACCCCTGGGGACTAACCCTGTATATCATTCAAACCATCTTAGCATGACAAACCAGAATATATATGGTTTAGGGGTGGGGATCTTTACCACTTACAAGGTATTAGAACTTTCTTAAATGGCAGGGGGTGGGGGTGACCCCTGGGGACTAACCCTGTATTTCATTTAATGGGCTTTATCATTTAGAACATTTTCAATTAAAAAGATTGTGTCTATCACAAACGGTTTTCAATTTATAATCATTTGAAAATTTAAAAAAATAAAATCCCATAGGGTTCTATAGTAAAACCCTCTTTTCTTTTTGCCCCTCAAAGTACCCCTTTATAAACCCCATTGCACAAACAAAACCCTGATTGCACCACTAGACATGTTAGTCTAACATATTGTGAAACCCTAAGTTAATCTGACAAGCGGTTTTGGAGAACGGGTGCGGACAAGTTCAAATTTAAAAGCGGCGGAAGAAGAAGAAGAAGAAGAAGAAGAAGAAGAAGAAGAAGAATAATAATAATAATAATAAGAACTGAGCAAAAACAATAAGTCTTCCCAAACTTCGTTTGGGAGACTTAATAACACAACTCAAATACACTACCTACTCATTAATTGCCTAAATTATGCACCTGTGGTAGATCCCAGACAGGTGCATGGTGATGCTTTTTTGTTCATAATATAAGAACCTGTGGTAGAGCCCAGACAGTTGAAATTTATTAGACCCTGTGGTAGAACCTAGACAGGTAAAAATTCTTGAAACCTGTGGTAGAACCCAGACAGGTGAAAAATGCAATAACCTGTGGTAGAACCCAGACAGGTGAGCATTAAAAACATACATGTATAAGAACCTGTGGTAGATCCCAGACAGGTGTATTATTATAAATGAGAATTCCTGTGGTAGATCCCAGCAGGTACAAATAACTAATTTAATTATGACCCTTAAATTAAACA